CTCCTTTGAATCCTGGCTTTGTGCAGTAATCACGTAATGGAATAAGTGCGTTGACGTACGGGGTGACTTAAAAAGGGTAGCGAGTGCAGCATGTGTTTTGATATCGCTTCCACAAAATTACGAATACCCTTGTGAGTACATTTTAGTTATTCATTAACAAATGTTAAAAACAAATCTTAATTACAATTTTACGAATGGTCATGTTTATTATTGGCACTACGCTCTATAACGCAGTCTCGTTACACTTTGGAAGTTTACAAGAAATTATTCCCTGTGGCAAAATGGATGGTACTTTCCAATAAATCCTTAGAAAAAGCCATCATATCCAGATTTATTTGACCAAACAAGAGAAGAAGATTCATATTTGGTGACGATTATATTTGTGGAGTCACGGACTTACATTTTGGCTTTGAGTAGTTAATTGAAAGCGATAACATTTTTAAAATGGGGCTTTGTGCAACTGGTCTTAAGGCTGCTCTTGTCCCTCTACCCTCTTCAGGTGCCTGTCCGTGCCAGTGGCCATGCGAGCAATGAACAGGAAGGCACTTGAGATCCAGGCATCTGCGCCCGAGCTGCAGTCCCGGCCGGAGACTGCGTCAGTGCTGGCCGCCATGGCCTCAAACTTGAGCGCAACGTTGGAGAACCTGGCTCGCCGCTCGCCTGAATGCATCCCCCCACCTCCAGTTCCCGGTGGCACCCCCCCGATGCACTATAACAGCACAGCCACCGGACATACATCCACCCCCGAGTTTGCAAATACACAATCTGCCGCATACTCTGGCTCTGCGTGTCCTGCCTTTCCTACCGGCATGCACTCTCACAACCAAAACCATCTTCACCAACAGAGCAAGGCCGTCGTTCACGGAGGGCACCAGCAAGAGTCTTTACTGTCACTTAGTGATGTGGATCTTTGCAAGGTGGCACAAAACCCAATCCTAACGAGCCTCCTACAAGTGACGGGTGGGCTGGGTGTGGCACCTGCTCTGGGCACTCAGCAGCAGCAGCCCCACAATGCGCAAACGCCCTCACCGACCTTACCCACCAACACAAAAAACCATCCTATGCTGTTCAACCTACTTAAGGACTTCTCATCTCCTTACTCTGGGTCTGACCGGCCAAGTAGTCACAATACTGCAAGCCCACCCAAATTAGAAGTGTCGGGTGGGGTCTCGAAGTCCAGAAAAAAGTGGCGGTCCCGCTCGCACACGTCCCCGAGAGACCAGAATGAAGAGTTTCCAAATGAACTGTGCTCAATGGATATGGAAACAAATACCGAGATATTCGACATGAATGTTGATGGCACGGAAATGGAGCGGCAAGAAAGCGACAGTGGTGGTGACACGGACTTTCCGAGCTCACCTTGTGCTCACAAGCCTGGCTCTCTTGCACGTAGCTCCCCGTGTGCACGAAGATCAACGCCACCATTGTCACATGTGCACCTTCCCTTGCCTGGCTTTTCCATAAACTCGCCCCATCCTGCACAGCAGCAGCAGCAGCAGCCGGTCTCCTCCCTGCCTCTACCACCTTACACCAGTAGCCCTCATCCAGCCTTGACATATCCAGGTGTTTCTCAAGCTACAAACCAGTTGCAGCAAGGGTTGGCCAACATGGTTGCCAATGTACCAGATTATCTCTCCGAGATACCACTGCGTCCTCTGAGCGACACCCAAGGAGAATCTGCACATGTTCCTTCCAGCCACGTCAGACTTTCATCTCCTCTTGGTATTGGCGTTGCTCACCTGCCACTTGATGGGACAGAAAAAGGAAGTAATTTGCTTGCAAAGTGTTTAGCGCAATGTGGGTCAGTGTCAACATGGGATTGGCAAACAGTGAGGGAAAAGGACAGTTGCATGTCTCCTGCAGAAAATGTGCCGAGGACTGAAACCTTACCTCTTGACGCAGAGGGGTTTGAGGGGCCGAGCACAGCCACAACGACATTCACGGATCCCTCCCAGTTCCTATCAGGGGCTGGAAGTGGCGGAGATGAAGATTCTCAATCTTTCCCTGAAGCACTCGATTTTAACAGCGACGCACTTAACAATGCAGAACCCGACGGCAGCTTCATGGACAACTTGCTTGATTCAAACTCTCAAGGCGGTGAGAACGAGGAGAAAGGGCTAGTTTTCGGTGTGTCGGTCACAAAGGCAGAAACGCAAGCATTCACCAGTGCCGATGGCAGTAGTAGGGTGGAGGTGGCCACCGGTGGCTCTCAGTCAGCAGTCAGTGTCTCTCACTTGGACTTTAGCACTGCATCGGGTTCAACATCTGGACAGGAAAGTAAGGTGTTCAATATTTCGTCTGAATCTACACCCACAGGGCATTTAAAAACGGAGATGACTCAGAGTTCAAAGGATTCTGGCAAGGTCACGGAGAAGTCGTCCACACCCAGTACAAACAAAGCAAACATAGGCAGCATTCAACGTGGTGGCAGCAATTACGATGGAAAAGGAATGAAACGCAGCCGCTCCTCTTTACCTGATGCTAAAGCAAAAGATAAAGTGCTAAAGCACAGGCGCCTGGATGGGGACGGCAAATCCATGTCACACAGCATGGCCACGTGTCGCTCGTTAACTCCACCAGCAAACATTGGCAGTGAAAAGTCACCTTTGACACTTCCAGGTCGCTCACAGACCCCTCCTGCTAGCTCGGCCCCACGCATCCCAAAACTTACCATCCAACGCTCGGCTGGCGGCTTGACTGTAAGCAAGACTTCACACAGTGGCTCCAGCGGCAGCAGCAAGCCTGGCACTCCACATATCTCTTCCTCCTCACCACTCAGGCAAAATGTAGGCAGTAAAGTCCCCTCTCAGTCTGGTCCAGCTTTTTCCACTGCTACAGCACGGGGGCAGCCTGGAGTGAGACTGTCCTCTCAGAGCTCCTCTCCTCGCCAGGGCGGTCCTCAAATTAAAGTCAAAACCAGCAGTGGCGGAGGCAACACCAAATCAGGCACAGGAAGTTCTGGGAACAAACCTGGTCCCGTATCACACGTAGCCACGGGCAGCAATAACGGTAGAGGTTCTGTGTTTGTGTCGTCATCGCATGGGAGCAGCGGCAGGACTGCGCAGATGGCAGGAAAGGGTTTATCCCATTCATTGCCAACAAAGCAAGGTTTCTTGCAGAAGCAAGGCAGCGGACCCGTAAGCTACGGAGGTGGTAGCAAACTTGTCAAAATGAAACCTATAGTAAAACCCTCTACCTCTGCATCATTGTCTACAAAGCAAACCTCCTCTCCGTCCCGATCCAAAATCCCCATGACGTCCGACCACTCTGCCGCTGTGAAACACACCCCTAACATTGCCAAGAGCCCCAAAATCCGTGTGCTCAACACTTCTCCAGCCTCAAGTGCCAATGGTGGCTCAATTGCGAACCCAGAATCCAAGCCGTTATCTTTTACAACTACATCGCAGCCAATCAAGTCAGGCTTTGCTTCCCAGGTGCCAAGCGGGGGGTCCTCACCTGTACCGTCAGTCGGGGGAGGTAGCTCCAGCAAGGTTGGGAAGTCATCAATTCGCCAACGTAAGCCCTCTCTAACAGCTGTGATTGACAAGCTAAAAAACGGGGTCACAGCAACTGGGGCTGGATTGGGAGGGGCAGAAGAATGTGTGGATTCAAAGCCAAGTGAAGATACTGCTCCAAGTTCCTCTCGAGCACAGCCAGCTAATGGTGGCCCTGCACAAACAGTACCGAGCTCTGCACCACAGAGAATTTCACCATTTAACGTTTCTGTCAGCAAATCTGACCCACACAAGCGCAAGGAGGTTGAGAGGGAGGTCAAGTCGAAAGTGGTGCTGGGATCTGCATCTTTGTCGACAGCATCTACTGACGGTCTCAAAAAGACTTTGGAACCAAAGGTCGGGAGTAGTGGCAGCAGCAGTGTTGGGAAGATAATCATCTCAAAGCCTGATGGCGAAGGGTCTCCGAGCATCAAAAACAAACCGCCGACTTCAAAATCTGTGGACAGTACCAACCAAGCAACCAAGCAGGGACCGGCGAGTTTGAAACAAGCGTATGGATCACATTTTATTTCTGAAAGTTCTACCCCCAAAATGGACCGGCCCTCGCCAAGTTGCATCAAATCGCCAGCATACCCACAGCCAGCAGGTGACAGCTGCAGTGAGTCCGAGTCAAGCTCCACATACGACAGCCTGAGTTCAGAGGATGGAGGCAATTTGCTCATCGACCTGTCGGGAGAGCGACCTTCTAAGAGCAATAAGAAAAGGAGAAACAAAGAGGTCAGCCGTGCACAAGATCAAGAAAAACTACTGCACCATAGCACACAACCAGAAAACTACCCCAAGTCTCCTCTTCTCAGTGAACAGCCTCCGTTATCCAACCTGTCTTTCAGATCAGGGTCTGGTACCTCGCAGCAGCCGAGCCCATGCGTGATAGATGATGATCTTATGAATGAAGCTTTAATTGGCAGCTCTACGTGAAGTTATAAGCTATAGCCTAAGTAAAAGCACTGTGCAAACCCCCCCTTTTTAATCCTACTCTCCAATATTTATGTGGGTAATACTGTGTAGCACTTAAAATGTAAAATAGTTAAATGGAAAAGTCCAACTGATGTTAGGAAGATTTTTATTTTTACACCTTTGGACACTAAGTGTGAAAAGGCCTTGTAAATTAGCTTGGTTTTTAATTAAACCCTGAGCACTTTTGCTAGTTTCCCTATACACATGCAGTAGTTAGGCTCGTTTACATGACAGGCATTTGAGTAGTGAACATGCGTCCTCATTCCAGTACCACTATGCATTGCTGCATGGTTTACAAGGTGTGGTGTGTGAGTTTTCAAGGTTCAGCTGTGTTTAAAAGTTATGCCTCAGTTTTGTTGGAAGACAACGTAAAAAAATGTATTTTAATGAATGTTTATATTTGTATGCATAAATAAACTATATTGTAATTACACATAAATTAAAGCTATGTTTGTTACTGTGATAAGAAATGTCGCAATGTTTTCATATAGATCTGTTTAACGATGCATTTGAGACTTGACATTTGAGGATTTTCCAATTAATTTTTATTGCTTTTCGCATTTAAACTTGGCACATTTTCAGTGTTAATGTATATTTGATTATATTTATACTCCGAATTTTACGGTAGATATGGCAAATCACACAATTTCAGTTCCAAACTTGCTCGAAACAAAATGACTGCTTCACAACCTGTCGCCAATAAAAAAAAAAGTCCGATGTGGAAAAAAAAAACACCCGGCTCTTTTCACTCATGCAGTCTTGGAGAGCTGTATCACAAGAATATAAAAAACACAATGTCCATCTAATTAATGTTTTACACTTCAGTATTGTTTAATATGTTCAATTACCACGTGTGAGAGAGAACATCCTATGTTGTCCATTGTCCTATTCGCATTTAATTTCCAATATGTTCACACAAGATCAGTGCAATATTGTCTCGAGTCAGTCCAGCTTGGCCCAGCAGTGCTTCACACCTCTCGCGTAGCTGCTGCAATCTCATCTGCAATTCATTCCATCCAACGCTCCCATTGCAATTGTGGACAGATGCCAGCTCACTTTTACAGAAATCCAGAGGTTCGCACTCATTTTTGTTCTCTTCAGAGTATGCATCCATGCCTTGTGTCCGCGAGGGGTCGGCAAAGCCACTGCCCACTACTGGTGGACAATCCACATCGCGTGCTGCAGATTGTATGTCCATGCTCTCTAGGGCCTCGCCCAGGTCGTCAGCATCCATGGTGCCATCGCACTCTGCACCAAGGCACGCCATCATGGTCTGTCCCAACTCGCTAAACGCAGCCTGCAGTTCCTTGAGCTCTCTCCTTGTGTCCGAGGCACCAGCGTTCTGATCGTTCCACGACTCCAGCGCTCTGCAATGTGTACGCATCTTCCACTTGGTAAACAGCACAACCAGGTACATGTACTCTAGAACACAAGCCATCATTACAGTCCGCAGCATTGGTGAACTTGAGCAGACTGAGTGCCCCCCCTGCTGAATGCTCAGCTACTCTTATTGTTTAAAGTTTTACATTAAACGTATGCTCCCCCCATGCCACAATTTTAATAGGGTAAAGCTATAGGTATGCATGTTGTCTTTAAATTGATGCAATTGTTTTCAATGACGATTAGACAATGTAATTGTAACATAACTGCATAATGACCATTGTGTTGACCACAATGTGATGAGTTTAGTGGTGATTGCAGAATCAGTGATTGTGATGGTCAGTGTGATATATGATGATTGAGACCATTACTTTACAATAATGATGTGATCGTGATGATTTAGGATTAATGTGTTAGTTTTGTGATTGACTACCATGTCATCATGACCGAGTATTGTTGAAGACTGACGCACAAAGAAGCATGGAGGGATGCATGCTTGGAATTATTGAGCCAGAAAAGAACACGTGGATTAGACAACATACGAAAGTGATGAGACGTCATGACTTTAGAAAATACAGGGGGACTCCTCTACTTACTAACGAGTTAAGTTCCAGAGGTCTGTCCGTAAGTCGATTTTTTCGTGAATTCAAATTGATGTAATCATATCGTACGCTATGTACACTAAGCGCGGGGAATGGCTTTAACACATTCCCGCGGAGGGAGCTGGTAGGAACGTTGAGTTGCTCGGTCAACATCCAGGGTCAACATCCAGGGTCAACGACGGCGTGGTGTATTCCGCAAATATGCCCGACTGTGAGGGCGGGCACAAGCCGGCGTGAGTAGGTTAAACGTTGAGTTTTATAAGAGCACCAGGGGGTGACCAGCCCCTCGCCACCCAGCCCCACACTCCCCACCCAGCACCTCCCCACCCAGCCCCTCCCTGTACGAAGGACACAATAATCCCCTGTGGGCTGGTGTAACCAGGAGGTTCCTACCAGTAAAAGTTGCATAATCTCCTGTAAATGCCACTGGTTCTTCATGTCCTGCAAATGTAGATGCCACACTGCCATCTTTTGCACGGCGGTTGACCTTACGACTGGACATGGGGCAAGTTTATTCCCATCTCTGAAAGTTCCTAAGTCAGATGTTCGTAAGTAGAGGAGTCCCTGGTAAGTGGGATTGTGTTGGACAAGATTTACAATGGACTCGCAGCCAAAGGATGTCCAAAGTCGAGACGGAGAAATCACAGAAGCTCACATACTTGATGCACCGCAACACCTTTGGATAGCGTCAGATAGCGATGGGGTCGGGAGGCCTTCAAGCAGCGGATTTATCATGACCGATTATGATGATCTGACCGTGATGATGAAGATGACTGCGCGGCATTTACCGTAGCGCCCCACTCAGCTGCCACGTGTGAAACGCCCTCTCGACCGCTCGGCCGAAGCCCAGGTTGAAGCCGTTCTGCAGGGCGGCCTCCTTGCCTTGCTCCAGGCCGGCCACGTAGCCCTCCTGCAGGGAGTTGTTCAAGTTCATTGATTAGGTATAATAGCCCTGTGAGCCATTCGGCTCTTGAATCGGGTGCAACCGCAAAAAACGAAAACATGAACAAGAAAACATCTTAAAGTGACTATGTGACTATGCAAACAGAAAATCCAAGAAAAGACAGCAAAATATTGCAGAAAAAGCACCATACACCAACGCTGTGTGCAAACATCCCAGTGGGATGCAAGTCAAACAACAACAACTACAAGACAACTTAGATTAAGGCCACCAGTCTAACTCTGTGCTACAACAAACAAACATGGCCAAACCAAAAAAACTTTTCGAAAATCACAAAAATAAAGCCATAAAAGCAATGAAACAGTGATCATAGGAACTGTGACCGAATTTTCGCAATAAACGACGAACATGTACCACCAAAACCCTGCAGCCATAGCTGGCTGCATGAGTCACTCCACAACAGCAGGAGCATCAGTCGGGAGTATCAACATTTTTCAATGCACCTTTAAGATCAGCACACTAAATCAAAACACATATTCTTTGCAGCGATCATCCGGAGCGAAATATTGTATTTTAGGCCACTGAATTGAGGGAGGATATGAGGAGGTGGTGGTGGGGGGTTAGGCAACCGCCTGTGAACAACACCGAGAGAGACACGAGAGAACCACGTGGGTGCCACCAAAACTTAAAAAGTCAACAACAAAACTAAAAGGGGGAATGTAGAGCACTGTAGATGGAGGTTATGGGTTTGTAGATGGAAGAGTTTGTGCTCGGGACTAGTTGGTTAAAGGTTTGAGGTAGGTATAGTGCTAGTGACTGATCGGCTAAATGGTGTGGTTATAAGCCATTGGTAGAGATAATACTCCTGTGGCTGGTTCACGAGCTGGTTATGGCGAGTCGAGATGCTTGTTGTAGGATTCGGGGTAAGATGACTGTGTGGCAGAGGTCGCAAACGGGTTTTGATTCCTTACCAGTGCCCGCACCCGGCCGCACCAGGGTCGCAAACAGGTACCCGTACCCGGCTGGGTACGGGTAGCCGGGTATCGGGTAGGGTACGGGTATCGGGTACCCGATTGCGACCTCTGCTGTGTGGATGCCTAATTGTTTAGAGTTATGGCTAGGACTACTTATCTGGCTGGCTAGTTGGTGAGGCCAAAAACAATACAGATACCAATTGGAACGACATGGCTATCATTACTGTATGGCTGGCTACTTGGTTAGGGTTAGAATGACTTGTCTGTCTGACTAGTTAGTTAGGGTTATAATGACTTGTCTGACTAGTTAGTTAGGGTTAGAATGACTTGTCTGTCTGTCTGACTAACTAGTTGGTTAGGGTTAGAATGACTTGTCTGTCTGTCTGACTAGTTAGTTAGGGTTAGAATGACTTGTCTGTCTGACTAGTTAGTTAGGGTTAGAAAGACTTGTCTGTCTGACTAGTTAGTTAGGGTTATAATGACTTGTCTGGCTGACTAGTTAGAGTTAGAATGACTTGTCTGTCTAACTAGTTAGTTAGGGTTAGAATGACTTGTCTGTCTGTCTGACTAGTTAATTAGGGTTAGAATGACTTGTCTGTCTGTCTGACTAGTTAATTAGGGTTAGAATGACTTGTCTGTCTGTCTGACTGACTAGTTGGTTATGGTTAGAATGACTTGTCTGTCTGTCTTGACTAGTTAGTTAGGGTTAGAATGACTTGTCTGTCTGTCTGACTAGTTAGTTAGGGTTAGAATGACTTGTCTGTCTGACTGACTAGTTGGTTAGGGTTAGAATGACTTGTCTGTCTGTCTGACTAGTTAGTTAGGGTTAGAATGACTTGTCTGTCTGACTAGTTAGTTAGGGTTATAATGACTTGTCTGGCTGACTAGTTAGAGTTAGAATGACTTGTCTGTCTGTCTAACTAGTTAGTTAGGGTTAGAATGACTTGTCTGTCTGTCTGACTGACTAGTTAGTTAGGGTTAGAATGACTTGTCTGTCTGTCTGACTAGTTAATTAGGGTTAGAATGACTTGTCTGTCTGTCTGACTAGTTAATTAGGGTTAGAATTACTTGTCTGTCTGTCTGTCTGACTAGTTGGTTAGGGTTAGAATGACTTGTCTGTCTGTCTGACTAGTTAGTTAGGGTTAGAATGACTTGTCTGTCTGACTAGTTAGTTAGGGTTATAATGACTTGTCTGGCTGACTAGTTAGAGTTAGAATGACTTGTCTGTCTGTCTAACTAGTTAGTTAGGGTTAGAATGACTTGCCTGTCTGTCTGACTGACTAGTTAGTTAGGGTTAGAATGACTTGGCTGTCTGTCTGACTAGTTAATTAGGGTTAGAATGACTTGTCTGTCTGTCTGACTAGTTAATTAGGGTTAGAATGACTTGTCTGTCTGACTGGCTAGTTAGTTAGGGTTAGAATGACTTGTCTGTCTGACTAGTTAGGGTTAGAATGACTTGTCTGTCTGCCTGTCTGACTAGTTAGTTAGGGTTAGAATGACTTGTCTGTCTGTCTGACTAGTTAGTTAGTGTTATAATGACTTGTCTGACTAGTTGGTTAGGGTTAGAATGACTTGTCTGTCTGTCTGACTAGTTAGTTAGAGTTAGAATGACTTGTCTGTCTGTCTGACTAGTTAGTTAGTTAGTGTTATAATGACTTGTCTGACTAGTTGGTTAGGGTTAGAATGACTTGTCTGTCTGTCTGACTAGTTAGTTAGTGTTATAATGACTTGTCTGACTAGTTGGTTAGGGTTAGAATGACTCGTCTGTCTGTCTGACTAGTCAGTTAGTTAGGGTTAGAATGACATGTCTGTCTGTCTGACTAGTTAGTTAGGGTTAGAATGACATGTCTGTCTGTCTGACTAGTTAGTTAGTTAGTGTTAGAATGACTTGTCTGTCTGGCTGACTAGTTAGTTAGGGTTAGAATGACTTGTCTGTCTGACTAGTTAGTTAGGGTTATAATGACATGTCTGTCTGACTAGTTAGTTAGTTTTATAATGACTTGTCTGTCTGGCTGACTAGTTAGTTAGGGTTAGAATGACTTGTCTGTCTGTCTGACTAGTTGGTTAGGGTTAGAATGACTTGTCTGTCTGGCTAGTTAGTTAGTGTTATAATGACGTGTCTGTCTGTCTGACTAGTTAGTTAGTGTTATAATGACTTGTCTGTCTGACTGACTAGTTAGTTAGTGTTATAATGACTTGTCTGACTAGTTGGTTAGGGTTAGAATGACTCGTCTGTCTGACTAGTCAGTTAGTTAGGGTTAGAATGACATGTCTGTCTGTCTGACTAGTTAGTTAGTGTTAGAATGACTTGTCTGTCTGGCTGACTAGTTAGTTAGGGTTAGAATGACTTGTCTGTCTGACTAGTTAGTTAGGGTTATAATGACATGTCTGTCTGTCTGACTAGTTAGTTAGTGTTATAATGACTTGTCTGTCTGGCTGACTAGTTAGTTAGGGTTAGAATGACTTGTCTGTCTGTCTGACTAGTTGGTTAGGGTTAGAATGACTTGTCTGTCTGGCTAGTTAGTTAGTGTTATAATGACGTGTCTGTCTGTCTGACTAGTTAGTTAGTGTTATAATGACTTGTCTGTCTGACTGACTAGTTAGTTAGTGTTAGTAATCGTGCCTAGCCGGCTGAGGCTAGGGGGCCATCTGACCCCGCTGACCCCGCGGTCTCCCCGCTCCGCGTCCCTTGGGCCACGACTCCCCACGGAGCCCCACGGCGGCGTCTCCCTTCGGCGATGGCTCGGGTCGTCCTCTTCGCGACGAGGGGGTTCCTGTTGGGAGGACACGGGGGAGGAAAGACACAACACCCCCCCCCCCCCTTCGTCACCTTCTCTCTTTTCGCCATGAGGCCTCGCCACTCCAACAGCCTCACGTCCCGCTCGTCCCCCTCTTCATCGAACACGGGGTCCTCATCGGGCTCTGGGGTCCCGGAATGCCGAGTCCAAGCCATGGATGGTGGGGTGGGGCGGGGAGCAACACCGGGATACGCCTGGGTTTGTGGGGATAGCGGAGGGATGGGGGAGTGTTGTCTGTGTGCGTTGTCTGTGTGTCGCGGTGTGCGGCTTTGTGGAGTTGTAACGAAACGCGCTCATTCATAAACAGCGACACCACGTGGAGTGAAGTGGGCACCGCGCACGTGGCCGCTGGGATCCGTCCACACTCCACGCGAGACATCTTACATGCCGGTGTTTATCATTCTTCGGCCAAAGGGAAAACCCCCATCGGAGGATTGGATGTCTTTCCAATTCGCCACAATTCTCCCCAAAATCTTGCGATGTAATAATGATCCACTTGGTGGCTGTGCACGAGCTAATTCCATCGCTCCATCTCCTCCAAGGTCGTTTGCTCTCTCACGCGCTCTCGTTCCTTGGTCGTCATTGCGAGATGAATCTTGACCATCTGCCCATCGTATCTAGCGACACAGCCCAAGTTATCTATGTTCTGAACAGTTATACTTGCTGTGCTTAACCTGCTTGCCTTCTAATCCATGCGCTGGGTTGTATGTTAACGTAATCACAAGCACGAATCATGTTTCTTTGCACGCTTTGGTGAGTTTTTTGTTGGATTCTCTTCGTGAGTGACGATTTTTACGATCCATGTCATAGCTGTATGGTACCACATCACTCGGGACATGTACATGTACAACACATGTTGATTACAACACACAGCGACACCACGTGGAGTGATCCGTGCACGCACCACATTCGCAATGTTCGTTAACCCGACTTACAGAACGTACAAATAACACAACACTCACCGTGCATATGCAACGTGTGTACGTACACATTTACAGCACTTAGAATCGTGTATAGCCGTAAAACAAACACGTATACAACATACACAATGCAATGATGCCACGTGGATTGGTGTGTACCTACAAAGTGAACAACAACACAAGCCACACATGCACAAAACCCAGTAAATATGCCTCCTTTTGCTGGCCCAACGTTGGGTATGGGTTCGAATCGTTGGACAAACGCTGGTCCCAACGTCCCAGATGTCCTGGGTCGTTCTCACACACGGTCAGCAAGCACCACGTGGAATGTCGCGAGTAGGTAACCCTTCGCTAACATCATGCTTAGAACACACAAAGAACACAACATGCACAGCGACCACATAGCATGACTGAATTTGTTTTGTCATCTGCTGTGACAATAGTATTATTCGATATACAGCATTTAATTGGCTCTAAAGCCCAACTCAAAAACCTTCAGTTTCAAACAACACAAGGAAGGACATTCTGTGATTGATGAGAAACTCAACAGACAGAAATGTGAACGAATTGTAACAAATCCCACCTCTCACAAGCTACATCACTAACCATACAATAATGTAAAGTACAATGTATAGATTTTTTTTGGGTTAGATCGCGTAAATATATAAATGTGTCGTTAAACCCAACACCACCCGACACAGCCAATTAAACAGAACGTGGCCAATTCGGTATTAGTACAGCACACCGGTGTGTTGGAGAGCAAAGCCACAAACATTTACAATCTGAGCACGACGTTTCGCCAGTAATTGAAACGAGCTGCATCAGGCGACAGCCAGATGCGTGGAGAAATCCTCCTCCTGTTTCGTTCCTTTCTCCACAAATGTGGCTGTCGCCTAAATCACTGCAAGACCCCGGGGGAATATCCTCTCTGCTTGTGTCCTCGATAAAAATAAAATGTAAAATACATTTTAAAGATATAAGTCACGTAGATAGAAAATAAAAATAAAATAGAAATAAAAATAATAAATTTGAATGAATTTTTTATTTAAAAAAATATATTCTATTTTCTAATAAAAATAAAATAGAAATTTTAATAATATTTTTTTAATCTATTTATCATTTATTTTAATTTTCTATCTACGTGACTTTACCGAAAGAACCAAGATTAACTCATTCCTGCGGAGGGAGCTGGTAGGAACGTTGGGTTGCTCGGTCAATGGCCAGGGTCAACGGCGGCGTGGTGTATTCCGCAAATATGCCCGACTGTGAGGGCGGGCACAAGCCGGCGTGAGTAGGTTAAACGTTGAGTTTTATAAGGGCACCACGGGGTGACCAGCCTCTCCACACCCAGCCCCACCCCTCCCACCCCCCACCCAGCGCCACCCTCCCTCCCCGCCCAGCCCCACCCCTCCCACCCCCCACCCAGCCCCACCCTCCCCACCCAGCCCTTCCGCCCCCCACCCTCCCCACCCAGCCCCACCCAGCTCCTCCCCACCCTCCCAACCCAGCCCCTCCCCACCCTCCCAACCCAGCCCCTCCCCACCCAGCCCCACTCTCCCCACCCAGCCCCACCCTCCCCACCCAGCCCCTCCCCTCCCCACCCAGCCCCTCCCCACCCTGCCCCTCCCCACCCTCCCCACCCTCTCCACTCAGCCCCTCCCCACCCTCCCCACTCAGCCCCTCCCCACCCAGCCCCTCCTCACCCTCCCCACCCAGCCCCACTCTTCCCACCCAGCCCCTCCCCACCCTCCCAACCCAGCCCCACTCTCCCCACCCAGCCCCTCCACACCCTCCCACCTACCCACCCCACCCAGCCCCTCTCCAACATCCCAGCCCCTCCCCACTCTCCCCACCCAGCCCCCCACCCTCCCAACCCAGCCCCACTCTCCCCACCCTCCCCACCCAGCCCCTCCCCACCCTCCACTCCCCACCCAGCCCCTCCTCACCCAGCCCCTCCCCACCCAGCCCCTCCCCACCCTGCCCCTCCCCACCCAGCCCCTCCCTGCACGACTGACGGACACAACAATCCCCCTGTGGGCTGGTGTAACCAGGAGGTTCCTACCAACAAAGTCAATTCCTGCAGCCACGAAAGTTTCGAGTCAAAAATTTGCCCTCGACGAGTGTCCACGATGGCGCCCTCTGGTGGCCGCCAGAGCGACGGCGGCGGCGGCGGCATTGTCGTCGTTCTCGAGCGGATCCGAGAGCGGACGACGCAGAGGAGCCGAGGGAGGGAGCAGCAGGGCGGCCTCCATCCTGCTGCTTGCTGCTGCTGCTGCCCCCCCTCTCCACTACGACTCGAGGTAAACACGACGAAGTGTCGTCGCTTGTGCCGTGGGGAGCGGTGGCGCAGCGGTTAGGGCGCGCTCCCCCCACCCACCACTCCCAACACGACCACGAACCCAGCCGACTCGAGTTCGATTGCACCCGCACCAAGGCCCCCCCCCTTCTCCCTCTACACACACACAGATCGACTCGGCTCGGTGTGTAAGCAACACATCGACACTCGAGGGAGACAAAGGCGGCCGGGCGTGGTGGCTTGGCCACCCACCCACCGCCCGCTCGTGTGCCGTGCCGGCCTTCATGGGTGCTCGCTATAACAGTCTGTCAAAGTTTAATGGGGGTGGTGGTGGGGGGGTTGTTGTTGTTGTTGTGTTGCGTTCAGCCCTAACACAGAAGCAGTGGAGATGATGGGGTGAGAGGTGGGTGGGGGGGGGCTCTGGTAGCGATGGGTGGCGCGGCGGTTAGCGCACTGAGACGCCGTCAACTCGAGCTGCTGCGCGAACAAGAACGTCGGTGGCGATCGACATCTGTGAATTCCCGGGTGCCGTTAGCTGTCTCAGTCAACACAACCCGCGGTGACCAGCGAGGTGAAGTATGGTCAAAGCTGCGTGGGGGGCCTCTTCACTATTCGGCAAGTGTATTGACAAAAATGTTGAATTTCGATTTAAAGCTTTCGTGACTGCAGAGATTCATCTTCTTGGTTGGTTCTTTCGGTAAAGTCACGTGACTTTACCGAAAGAACCAAGAAGACAAAAATGTTGTGATGATGATGATTGTTACTGGGGTACGCTTAGCCGGTGTGTGTGCTTCTAGCTCTGTGAATGTTGTGCGTGTGTGTGTGTCATCTCTGTGCTCTTATCTGCGGGGTTTTTGACGATTGCTTCCAACTTTGACTCAAACTCGAGAGGGGAGCAAAGCGACTCTGCGTGTGGTGGTGATGGCTGGGTTGTTGTATAATACAAACCTGTCAACCCCTTATCAGTGTCCTACCTCATTACAGACCAATTAAGACCTTGTCACCCCGTGCCCTTATACATCTCAAAGTTCATCCTATGAAGTCCCATCACAAGGGAGAAACACAAACGAATTGACAAAAAAAACCTGTTTTTTTGCCCCTATTGAAACGGCTGTGCGCCGTATGGCCATGAAAACTCAATTTCCCTGTACAAGAATGCGGGTAAACCTCATGAGTTGACAGGTATGGAAAGTATGTTTGACTCAGGTATACTGAATCATGTATTACCATAGAAGACTCTGTGGTAGTAAGGTGTGGGCAGAATACAGTTGTCCAGGTTATGTAATAGTGATAATACAGTACATGTAATATGCTTTTTTGTTCACCGATTTTTCAAGATTCGTTTTCAAGAGGGATGTTTGGACACATCCATTGGTGAGAGACTGCCCGCAGCTGATGATTGAGCAGCATCCAGAGAAAGCGTACGAGGAGGTAACGCTCACGCACCCGCACAGATCGATTCAACAATCCATCGATGTTCGTTATTGCCATCCCCTGGCCACCTTGCATGTGCATACGTGATGATACGATATCGTACGGTATCGTGTTTGTTTCTCGGCTGGGTGACAGCCGAGGAATAAACAGTTAGCACTTTACGCAACTCTGTTATTTAGTAATCTATTTGTTTTGTGGTTTGTTTACGATCTACCCGTAGTCACATCTATAAGGAGAGGCGGCCTCTCCCGATAAGTGATCGAATCACTTTATCCAACTAGGTTAAACGGCCTTTTATGTATGTCCTGAATGTTGACCTTCTTTCGCACCGTACTTCTCCAACCGTGCTAATCGGAGGTGTGCGGGGGAAGGGCAACAAACTGAACTGTCGATCCACTGCTGGATAATTAAGGCCCTCCCCACGCCTTCCCAGACTACCGTAATCACGCTTTGGGTAATTATTGATAGAAAGGTTTTAAAACGCAAAGGCTCTTTTGATCCTCGGTGTCCCTTGTACCATATAGTATAGGGGCCATCCATAAATGACGTCACGCACCTGGGGGGGGGGGGGTCAGACATTTGTGACGAGGGGGGGGGGGGGGATTTGAGAAATGTGACGTCACATCAAAATGCGCAACTTTAAATAAAGACACGTTCTCCTTAATTAAATAGACTTTTTAATAAATGTTTTCTCCTACAACATCAGAGTGCAGCGCCGCATTAAAATATGCACTACAATGACAATAGTTTAAAGCGATTTGAATCATGTTTTCTTTTTGGGGGGGGGGGGGGGGCAGAGCTTTGTGACGTCATATTTGATGGCGGGGGGGGGGGGGGTCTGACTTTTTGTGACGCCGTGTGACGAGGGGGGGGGTCAAAAATCGTCCAAAATCGCGTGACGTCATTTATGGACGGCCCCATATGCGATCTGATCCATGTGTTCCCCTTTTTGTCTCTCAGTGTTCAGTACTGTAATATGATTCAAATAAATGCACCTCTCCATGCTTCTTTGCACACTTTTCAACTTGTTCCATTTTCGTTGTCAATGCCCATGTGTCTGATGCTTGATGTTGTAGACGTTCGTAGACAGATGAAACATGTGATCGGCACATTGGCGTGTTGCTTTTAAAGTATATTCACACTAAAATGTATGTTCATCGAAAATGTTATACTTTTACATTTCACACCTGAATTCTTGAAATGTCTATTAATCATTTATTGTTATTTGTTAAATGTTCAATTTCACAATGATCGGTTAACTTATTCAGATGCTTTGACCGTTTAAATGATTTACATAGGTCCAAGCTTAGTAAACATGGAATGTTCGGAAAACGTTTGTCTAACGCTGCCAACGTTGCATGCTTACTGGGTGTCTCCCTTAAAAAGAAAACTTTTGATCTCACTGAAGTTTGTGCATCTTAACCAATCTCTAGGTCCGTGTTTAGTGGTGGTGGCGGCGGCGGCCTTAGGAGCCATGCTGCAGGAGCCTGGGACGCCAACTTTCCTGTGCTGGGAGGTGGTGGGCCCTGCAGAAGGGGACACGAGGCTACCCACTCATCGCAGCAAACATGCGTGCACCACCTGGAAGGGCCTACTCTACGTGCACGGGGGCAGGGATGCGCGCCACTCACTCGCAGACCTCTGGCAGTACGAGCCAGGTATTTGTGCTGTTATCGTGACCGCAGTTGCTCACTGAAAGCCTTATTGTTCCAATTCAAAACGTGGGAGGTACTGTATTTCGGAATCAGAATCTCTATTCATACTGGAGGAATCCGATGAGCTATAAAGCTCTTTTACACAGATGTCCAATAGTTTCACAGATGTCCAGTAGTATTGTACGCGGACAGGGGTAGCAACAATAGCAACTTGTTGAAGGAAGGCTGTACCTATGGGAAAAGACCTAGTGAGCACAGAAGTATAACACTGAAATGTGGAAGGATAAATGTGGACAAATAGGCATGATGCTACTGTGGTGTAATGGTTGGCACACTGGCCTTGCAATCCACATGTCGCTGTTTTGGCACTGCAGTGGAAACAAGAGTGCACATTTCCAAATCCCCCCCCCCCACCTCTGTCCACCCAGTACACTACAGTTCGTCGATTAGAAGGTTGCATGCAGTTGGGTAAAGTGTGGGTACTCACACCTCTTACAAAAAGTCCGGCCAGCAGGATAGAATATTCATATTCTTAGGTTTTTTCGGTAAAGTCACGTCGGTAAAAAACTTAAAATTAATCAAAGTAAAATCAACTTGATACAGCAATCGTGCTGTGACGGTTCCACCTGAAGACGGAAGCTTGTGTTGCCTCCGAAACGTCGTGATTTTTATTTTATTTTTTATTTTTACTTTTATTAATTTACATTTTTTACCTACGTGACTTTACCGAAAAAACCTAAGAATATTAATCCTTGCAGTCACGAAAGCTTCAAATCTAGAAAGGATAGAATAGGTCAGATAGGGATGTACAGAGCTTTCATGTGGAGACCTTTCCACCAATCGTGGCATGAGCAAGCAAATGCAGGGCTGCATCTGTATCTATTACTGTTTGATATTTTCGTTGGGCACATTGTGAGAGGACAGGGCTGTCTGCTCAAGTACTGGAAGGAAGAATGGATGGGAGAACACCGATTGGAGACAGACGAAAATCATTGCTAGTTGAGTAGAAATAGTTGAAACGTGGACATTAAAAGGAAAGGGTCAAATGTTATGGAATGGTAAAGTACAACATTTTTTGAGCCCCAAACCTGCCTTGAGGCCAAACATTATTGATTGAAGCAGAGGCTCTAGGTCTGTAATGGAAACCGCCAAAACGTCTGCAGACATCATGATTGCTAGGCATCCAGAGCACGTGTGTAGTCGTTGATTCTGAATGGTATTTTTCATCTTGTTCTCCTCTGTGACTGTTTCCCCCTGGTTGTTTTGCGTTTTGAGATGCAGGCTAAAGTAAGGGTGATAACTAAGAGCTGACAGGTTTCTTAAATTGAGAAGGGTTATATGAAATTGCAAGGAGAGCTGGAGGGAGTTGCAAAACTGAGCTATGTGAGGAAAGTAAGTGGAATGCCACGTCTTGCTGTGGAGCAGCTACCCACAGTACGGTTGACAGGAGTAATAGAAAATAATTCTGTACACTTGATTTGCATCTACACTCTTAACAGGTTTGTGCAGCAGACACTAACCATGAAAGAAAATTCCCCTGTGGAACATGATAAATTGGACTTCAACTCTAATTGAATTGAAAAACCTTTTGCCTCTGAAATAATACTTCGCTATTCAGAAACTGCAGTGATAAGCTTATGATGGTTGTGGTTAATATGTTTGGCATGTGTGTCTCGACTGACCTAGGTAAAAATACGTGGAAGAGGCTAGATGAACGTACGCAGGCATTTGCGGCACCGGCTTTGCATGATCACACGATGGTTGCAGCACAGGTAAGGTATCAGCACAGCCACATGGTCATATATACGGATGAAATTTGTTTACCAATTTGGCTCATTGCATCTGAGAAATACTATATCGCAAAACAAAAATGCTTGTCTTTTCACACAAATGCAAGCAGAGGTCATGCAGTGTTTATAACATTTTGCCTCTGGTCATATATTCAGATGCACTCGATTTGGTTGTGGTGGTGCATGCCTATAATTCAGTGCTTTGGAGGCAAGGGTCAGAGAAACAGAGAGATTTTGAAACTCCAAAACGCATTGGTCTTTGAGTTGGCCAGCAGATTGCGGTACAACAAATGGGTTCGTCAGCCATTGTGTGGACCTTTGAGACATTTTTTTAGATGCATATGCAATTTCTGAGTACTCTCGTATCCTTCCACATATAAAACACTACTTAAAATGGAAATGGAAAAACATCCCAATGCTGGGGCCTTGTGAAAAAGAGGTCTGAGATTCACTATTTTTTGGGGAAATATTTTTTATAAATATGCGTATATCGAAATTGCGTATGCAATTGCAAATTGCCCCTTCACGATTCAGTACATTGTCCCTAATCAATAAAAAAATATTTCTTTCAACATTGCAATGAATACAGCTTAACAGCTTGGAAGTAAATCAAAACATAAACATACGCATCCATAAAGATTGAATCTTACACAGTTCATACATCATGAGGCTCAGAAATTATATTAATAGATAAATCCCACTCATTGTATTACTTTACTACATTTATATTGCCACCTTGTACAAATGCTGAGCATTGCTATACGACTATAATGAATGATTTTCTCTAAATTACAGGGCCACCTTTACCTGTTTGGTGGATTGCTATGCGATACTGACCAAACGCCTCTGTGGGACTACAACATCAGTAAGTTTGATACATTTATCTCTTAAACAAATGCAAAACCAGTAAAATCTGCATTTTCTGAATATGCGACAACCATCACCATCTCAGGGCACTCTCAGATCACATGGCCATGTTTTCAGAAGGCGCTTTACATTACCCCATTTGGGCAGAGATTTTTTTTCACGAAAACATTTGTCCAAAGCTACTTGCATTTGTGCCATTTTATTTTGAAGCTCTATTCCGCAGGCTTATTATTTGTCTAAGCCTGAGGGTCTCTGCTATTATAAACATTTGGGCCACAACTGACATTAAGGGAAAATCACAGTTTTACAGTTATTGCCATTCATGTTAGAGAATTGTACTCAAAATATGTTTTGTTGTGTTCATATCTGCAGACGAGTGTTGTTGGGAAGAATTTAAAGGAACTGACTTGAAAGCTCAGGTAAGGGTAGTTAGTCTCTAGTCGATGCAGTCTCCTTTTTGGCCAGTGCAGGCATTCATACTTCACTGAACTTTTAATGTATTAGTTGTATACCAAACAAACGACCATTTCTTCTTTATACAACAAAGTCAGAAGCCATTTCAACAATGTGTCTCTTTTTAAATCCTTTATATTAAGTTCGCTTGCTTGCTTTCTTGCGTGCTTGCTTGCTTGCTTATGACCGTGCAAATCTTTCGGTCGTTTTTTTAACCCACTTCCCGTGATCCAATCGAGCTGACATTTTCCACACAGACTCGTTGTGCGTGACAATTAATTTTCGTGAATTTTTTTTTTCAAAATTTTACACTGTTTAGGGAATTTTTTTTCTATATTTAATTACCAATTTCTTAATGCTGGCAGACAATCATCTGACCCGTAGGTGGCAGCCATCTCACGCCAGAGGACGAGAGGACTCTAGCCGCCACGCATATAAAGGATTTATAGTGAAAAACTTTGTTTTTACGGGTTAATTTTTTATGTTTATATGTATGTTGAACTACCTGGGGGCAAACTGAAGCATTTGAAATATTTGAATGAGCACTAATACATACCATCACATTACAGTTGGACTATAATACAAATGTAATGGGTAGTATGAATGCAAAAATATGGGATCATTGGACCTGGAATGATGTGGACTTTAAATGTTCCATTTTGGTGACCGAATACAAAAACATCTCAAGATGCTTTACATTCTAGAGTTTAATAAAAAATTTCAACATTGTGTCTCAAAAAGAACGCGGATATACACAGTAGCTAGGGTGTAAGCATATATTATAAAACTATACATTTTGGTGTCATGTAATAAATATAAAAATTGTATTCATTAAGGCACTTTGGACAAATGTGGGGACAAATAAAACAAACACGAAATGGAGGTGATGCCCAGGGCCAATGAGCCCGGGACAGTCGCAACAGCCTCTCTTGATGTGTGGTGTATACACTGGTACGTGTGTGGCCTGTGCCCAAGCCGCGAGTCGTGCTGGCCACACCACCACCGCCAACGTATGCCATGCCGGCCATCCATAGTTGCTAGCTAAGAGCACTTGCCCCAAAAGTGTATGAGGCTTTTATCTTTGTGATTTAGGCAGCCCCGCAGAACCGGCGTGACCACACGGCGGTGGTTCACCGTGCAGGCATGTACGTTTACGGTGGACACCGTGACATGATGGGGCCGACAAGCGAGTTCTGGGAACTTGACTTGGGTAAGAGGCTTGAGAGAAACAGTGTTGTGCTTGCTCGACATGAAATACAATGCTCGTGTATCTATATTTAGCGAAGTAGTACTGCACGGTTGTCATCAGTGCATTCCATTACAGAATTCATTCACGTCACCGTAACGTGGCTTAAATTTTTTTTCCAGCCACAGCTGAGGAAAAAAATTCTCTATTTAATATTTTGCTTATACATTACAATATTTTGCATTCTGATATACTGTTCATAAACAACGTTAGGTAAAATAAGTGAAGCATTGTGCCTATGTGTAAGTAAAAATCAAGGGTACATATTTGCATTGGCCACATGTCTCTCATGTGTTGACCCCATGACGTCACGACTGGTTTTGGGCCTGTTAAATTGGCTTGGGCCAATAACACATTTCCTACTGTACAAATGAGTCGTGCTGCACCCGGGCCCAGGTTGATTTCCAAGCCGTGCCATTGACAGTGTACGCCACGAACGCATCGAGTCACGTGTAGATGATGTGATAATGCTATATTTAAGTGTACTGGACTGACGCCAGATGAAATGAATGCATTATCAGCCCAGCCCCGCGTAGTGCTCAGACCTTAGCCAGATTTAAATGTCTTGAGAGGCCAGCATATCATGGTTTAGTTTCGGCCCGGCATGGCCAATAGGCACTGGCAATCATCACCTGTACCGTGAAGGACTCACGCTTACTCGGCTCGGATGTGCCAGTGGAAAAGAGGCCCAGTATTGGATTGCCGTGGAAACTCAAGACTAACCCCTTTTCCAAATTGTTTGCAAATTGGGTCAGCTCACTTCCAAGTGGCCGTGGGAACATGGCATGCGATACTCAGATGTACAGGGCTGCCTGGGCATGATCGGTCGTGTGGGCACAGAGAGCCGTGTGTGGCGATGCCGCTCAACGGAAGAGGCGAAGGGCAATGGGGGCAGCCCTGGGCAGAGGTGCGCCCACTCGGCGACCTGCTGGCGCGACCGCATGTTCGTGTACGGCGGGCTCGAGCGCCTGCGTGTTCTTGACGACTTCTGGGCATGGGACTTCAGTGCAGAGTACTGGATGAGGCTGACGGCCAGGTACAGTGACTCTGTGAATCGAAACCCGTGTTTATGCATCGCACTAAATGAGCTAATGAATGTTCAGTGCGTTATATTAAAATATGTGAACAAGATTTTCACAGGAATTGTTTTTTCAAAGCATTCAATTCAATTATTTAAATGGATTCTTACATGCTTACAATACTTGCATCGAATCATGTGTGTGGTAATCATTCATGATATATATGCGACGTATACGGGAATTATACAACAATGTAACATTCATGAGAATAAAGTAAACAAAATAGTAAAAAAAGGTGAAATTAAAGTAATATAAAAAAGACAGTAAAAACTCCATTAACAAAAACAATGGATTGTCATCTTAAATTGTTAAATTAACTTGCTTGGCAGTGTGTCATTACATGCTTACCATGTGTACTTACTTATAAATGCTACCTATATGCCTGGGCTTCTCTGGATAATCCAACTTCCCTCCTAATATTAAATTATCCAACCAGTAATTGTCCAGACATTACAATGCAGAACTTTGCACCAAAAGTATTAAAAGTCAGTTATTTTACAATTTACAAATTATGTTGTTCATAATGTTATACTGCAAAATCAAGAATTTAATGCTTCTTTATGCAATTGTATCCCAAAGTCCATGCATGTGCGTGTACACGTGTCTATGTGTGTGGGTGAATCATGCACCAGGTCTGATCCAGGCCAGCTGCACCATCACGCAATGTGCATGATTGGTGGATGTGACGGCGGTGCGCTGTTCCTCTTTGGTGGTAAGAGCAACAGCCGTGTCATGGGCGATGCATGGCTCTACCGCTTCAAGCAGAGTGCCTGGAGAAAGGTGCGGACAACTCCCAATGAAGAGCTTCCTCCTAACATGGCCCAGCATGCTCTGGTGTCTTTCCTCGACCGAGATCCAAATGGCAACGGTTCAACCTGGAACATCTCTACCACGAGTTACGAGTGTCGGGCCTTCGATCCAGGGAGCGTGTGGGAGCACGGGTGGTTGGACCTGGCAGGAGCGTTTTCATTTGTGGACATGGCTGAGTGTGGAGGGCAACACGTTAAGAAATCCACAAACGGCTTACCGAGTAATGGCAGAGCCAAATCTGTCAGTTATCCCTTTCTTTATTACCCCCCAGAGTGGGATTCATCCGAAATCAACGATGGTGAACAGATGGATCCAAGAGGTGCCAAATGCTCGACTGCTTGCCAAAATATGCGACGTACTCTCTCTACATCAGAAGAAGATGGAATAAGTGTGCACTGCTCAGGGATATCATTGGGCAGTGAAAAGCAGCTCAAATCGCCAAAGACAGTCGGCGAGACCCTGTCTCTCCGGGACGGCAAAGGTGTGGGAACTTCGGCCCTTGGAAGTGAGGTTGGAGATCTCATAGGTGGGACTGTTCAGAAAATGGAGATGCTACTGATTGGGGGGATTCATGACACAGGGACTGTGAGCATCTCTGCCAAACCCATCTTCATGGGAAGATTTACAATATGCTAGTCCACTATGTTTTATTCCCAAGGCAAAATGTGTAGCATTTTATAACTATTAATCCTCACATTAAGCGGTTTACAGTTGAAAGTGCCACCGATATTATACAAATTCAGAATGGCTGCTAACATGAAAACTAATACTGATGTTTTAAAACTTATTTTTAAATATAAATATGGTATTAGCACTTCAAGGTTTCATATCTTAATAAAGCCATGCATATATGGGGCTTGACTTTATTTTTTGTTACAAAAAATATATTATTACTCTATGTTCTCTTTACCTATCGCAGTACTGTTGTATATATTGTATAATAAACGAAAAGCCATCCAGTTGGACATACAACTAAATGTATTTGTTCAATTGTAAACATTGCCTTGGGCTGCTTGGGCATGGTGGCGGATTGTCAAGAGAAATTACGTAAGCCGCGGTCGAGGGGTGGAGGGGCGGGGCTTAGGGGTGGAGGGGCGGGGCTTAGGGGTGGAGGGGCGGGGCTTAGGGGTGGAGGGGCGGGGTTTAGGGGTGGAGGGGCGGGGTTTAGGGGTGGAGGGGTGGGGCTTAGGGGTGGAGGGGCAGGGCTTAGGGGTGGAGGGGCGGGGTTTAGGGGTGGAGGGGCGGGGCTTAGGAGTGGAGGGGTGGGGCTTAGGTGCGGAGAGGTGGGGCTTAGGGGTGGAGGGGCGGGGCTTAGGGGTGGAGGGGCGGGGCTTAGGGGTGGAGGGGCGGGGCTTAGGGGTGGAGGGGCCGGGTTTAGGGGTGGAGGGGCGGGGCTTACGGGTGGAGTAAAGGGGCGGGGCTTAGATGTGGAGGGGCGGGGCTTAGACTCGGATGGGCGGGGTTTGTCCCGCGTCGCGTGGACTCCTTCGCGCATGCGCAGCGAGGCGTTTGTAAGCCCACGTCACGAGTGCGGCCCGGTGAGAAGAAGACGCGCAAGGGACTTGAAGCTCGACCCAGGTGAGACCCAGGTGAGGCGGCTACGGCGGCTACGGCGGACCCCGCACGCTGCTGCCCTCCTCAGGGCCAGGGGCTTGGTCAAGCGTTAGCGCCATGGCTAAAGAGGCTTTGTGTTCGAGTTAAAGACTTTGGGTTGGGTAAGGGTTCGGGTTAGGCCCAAGGATGTGACCGTATACGTGGTACACGGTACGTGTTGAAGGGTTTACGGAGTTCGTGTTTGGTCCGAGGGTACGTGCCGGTTCTCGGCCACTCACCTTGTTAACATCTTCATCCCATCGTTACGATCATGAACGCCATCCCCACCGGCGTCGTGATCAACATCGGTGTCATCGATCCCATCGATTCCATCGATAACGGTGTTAACATCGCCCTCCCTACGCGGTCATCATAATCACTGATCCCACCGTCATTGCCTTCACGGGTTTCGTTATATCATCATCACCCCCATCATTAACATCGTTGTGATAATTTATTATCGCCATGTCGTTAACATGACTGAAGGAGATGTTGCTGATCAATGAAGACAGACCCGAGTTGGATCTCAACCCTCCTCGTACTGGCGGGGGGTGGTGGCCAGGGACGCGATGGGAATTGGGATTCGTGGGGGGCTTTTGTTGTATTTGTTGTTCTTGGGGGGTTGGTGATGATGATGATGGTTGCGATAACGAAAATGATGATGTTCATGCTAATGGTGGCGGAAGTGGTAATGTTTGTTTGTACCGAGCTTCCTGTCCCATCATTCATTATCCTGATGTAACGATTTGGTATTCCTGGTCTTGAATAGTGTGCAAATATCGACGCTCCTGTGTCTCGTGTGATGTGTGTAGAATGCATGTCCGTGGCTTTGAGTGTAACAATACGCGATATTAATCCTGTGAAAAAAATCGATTCCTTTGCACTCGATTCTGTAGCGGTTCAGTCATCGACGGAGTCGTAGAATCGATTCACCCGTCATGCTCATGTGCCACGTGGCATTCGTAGATTCACTGTGCGGATGCATTTACTGTTTAATTATAACAAAGAAAACCTCTTACATGATGAAATTAATCTTCTTGGTTCTTTCGTGACTTTACCGAAAAAACCAAGAAGATGAATCCCTGCAGTCACGAAAGCTTTAAATCGAAAATGATAAAATTCATCCAAGATTGGAAAAATATGAAACAAACTTTAAACTTGATGGTAAAAAGTAAAGATTTTGTCAATTATAAGTGTAATCGTGTCCAGCGCGTGAGTGGTGTCGTGGTTTCCGGTGCGTGAGTGATGATTGGACATTAACATTTAGCTACCCGCCTCTGCCCCAATGTGACGTATTTCCGGTCACTATTCTGTTACACGATTATGTTGCCTTATTTTTACGATGCAGTTAAACCGTCTAGTTTGCATTTCATGTTATTTGTACTCTGTCGTGCCAACACGAGCATACATAAAATAATCGTTCAGCAGACTTTAACGAATAAAATAAGTAACTTTTTTCGCACCCTGCGGCCTTCATATAAGATTTGATCTTATTTCATGGATGATTATTTGCATACAAAGTGATCATGGACCAGGTGAGAACTCCTGAGTGGAAGCCAAAGGAGGGAAAGCAGTCAAAGAGGGTATTTTCCACAGTAGTGGAGTGAATGAGATGGGCTTCTGTTCAGGTGCTGGGTGGATTGTTTCATCATGAGACCAACTTTGGAAGGCCTTTATCCAGCAGTGGATTTATTTTGACTGATGATGACATTTTTGTTCCCCTTACGAGGTTAAGACTAATCCATCATGGACCAGGTGATGACATTCGTGGAGCCAGGCAGGCAGTTCGCCAAGGATTCCATCCGGCTCGTGAAACGCTGCACAAAGCCCTGACCGCAAGGGTGTGTGTCCCATCATTCATTATCCTGAGAATGCACAGCTTCCAGCTGTTATGGTTTTTCGTATATATGCTGAACTTCTTTCGCACCGTATTTAGGCAACCGTGCTAATTGGAGGTGTGTGTGCCTATATTGCGGTGATAGTTGTGTCCCAGGATTGAAACCATGCCAATTTTAGGTGACTGATTGGACTCAGCACTGAGCTAGTCACCACTAAGATCCCTTGCTTTAAATCCAGGCAATTGCCCCATTATTAAGCTGAGTTCTAAAGTGTTAATGGTCTGAGCCCAGTAACAATACTCGATTTTGCAACTTAACTATATTCCTGCTCTGAGAATTGTCATACGACATTAATCTTTGTCCATTGGAGCCTGGCAAGTGGGAAAGTGCTACCCCAGAGTGCCAAAATGTTCAACATACAGCAAACACCCATTGACTGACACGGAGTTGGGAGACCAGCAGTAAATTGACAAGGCTGTACATTTTGACATGTACATTTTTTGAGAGTCTTGCATTTGGCCAATTTTTAAGTGTTTTCCATGCGAGTGCAAACTGGAGTAACCGCATAAACTCAATCATGCATGTGAGGATTACACTCAAGAGGTCTCTGCAGCAAAGCGCACAAACCCGCCTGGTGTACGGCTATCGCCAGGCCAGCTCACAGCCCAGTGGCTTTGGAAGTTTAAAAAATATGCACAATCTCTAAACCCTTGCCTCCAAATCGCTGGACCGCACGCGTGAACAACCACACTCGGCTTAATTGCAGGGGCACATGAGACTGAATCTGGTAATACTTGGAAATACAAATGCTCAACCTTAATTCAGCCTAAGTGCACTATCTTGATTACAAATGTTCAGTGCTAATTATTGCACTTAAATTTTAAGTCCTCTTATCCGTTAATAACTAATTATTAAACATCTAAATTTGTCTGAATTTCTTTAATGGTAAATACTTTTGTTGGGTAAATAGGAGGCTTATTGGAGCAATTAATGATTACACCTTTGGTAAGGTAAGCTTATGTTTGGGTTATAAAACGTTTTAAAACTTCTGTATAAATCTATCACTTTGTAGTATAAAAAAATAATCTGAAAAAGTGTTTATTATTTATTGGGACAAAGTATGCTCAAGGGAAGGTTGTATTTCTCTGTGTAACCTCTGCATCTGACTGCTGATGTGTAAATGGCTTTGTGTAATGATGCATCTGTTGTTAATGCAGAGTTTCAGAAGATCGCAATAGCAACGGCAATTGGCTTTGCCATAATGGGCTTCATCGGCTTCTTCGTGAAACTCATCCATATTCCCATCAACAACATCATTGTGTAAGTGGAGTGTAGAATTTCTAAATGTCCTTCATTTGAACTCTATCATATCACACTTAAGTGTTAATAGCACTGCACAATTTACTTGGGTGTTATATGTTACACCTTGTCACGGTCACTTTTTTTTCTTTCTCACTGAATTATTTTTCATGAGTTGAGTGTTGAAAGAGGCTGTTAATGTGATAGACTCCTTGGTGTAAATTTTGTTTAGCAAACACGTTATAATTGATTTTAGAAATGTTTAAAAGAATAAGTTTGTGAGCCACGTTGATGAGTGCTGGCTATCCTTTGGCACATGCTTCAAGGTGCTCACCTTATGTCATTCAAAATTATTGGATTGTGGGTGCCAACTGCATATTTGAGTTGTGTGTTTGTGTGTTTTTTCAGTGGCAGTTAAGATCAACTGGAGTTCTACTTTGAAAGAGATGCTGTCACTTCTGGAGTTAACTTTATATCGTCAACAGTGAAATGCCATAATGTTGAAAAATGTGTCCAATGTTTTACCAGCCGTTTTTGACATTCAGTTTTGTCTTGACTTATGAATAAAGCCCATGTGAGTGATATTATTGAAATGTCTATTTTAATGTACTGAAATGTCTCTTTTAATGTACTGAAATACACTGACCACGGCTTGGTGAAGGTCTCTCAACATCCATGGTCTTGCAATGTTACAAACCATCTTACCCTGCGGTACATGAAGTGATTTAATCTCGATCAAGTGGTGGTGACTATCCTCAGAGGGTGTTTCTGTCCTTTGGCTGACATTCCATAACCAGCCTTGACCATTGACAGGCCAGTCTTCCACGAATCAGGAAACATGCAAATTAGAGTCTTGGCTGTGAAGAAAATGAAGTGGGATGAGGCTGGAAATAAAATCTGCTTATACATAACTTAAAACAACCTCGGGAAAAGCATTTCTGATGTGGCTGTGCTTCAGGGGACTAATACCATTGGAGCGCTGAGCAAACATCAGATCCTCTGCTTGATTCCAGGTCACCACCTTGTCAAGTATGACAAGTTGATGGGTGATATTATTCACCCAGCCATTAGCCGCACAATAAACCTGCCATGTTACGTTTCAGCTCTGAGGATTTAAATGTTCCATTTGCCACACTGCTGGTGCGAAGTTGCATTTCGTGTGGATAAGAGCAATCAAATCTGAGGTTTTTGAGAGGCTGCTCCCACGAAGTGATCCGTAACTGTTTCGAGTTGTGCTTGCAATCGCAATCTGAACGTAATTGTGAAAAACATTGTGTTTAGCATGGAGAGATATTGGTTATGCAATTAGGGTTTTATTGAACTGCAGCAATTTTTATATGTAATTTCTGATTGAGTCTACATTTAAATTAACTCTGGAATTATCACAATACATCTGGTTGCATTCATGCATTTCACCATTACTCCAGAAAACGAATATTTTTCACCCAGTGCACCTAGCCTTTGAAAACAAAGAAACAATTTTGAAAGGCATACGCACTAGATAGTCAACATTGGAAATGTGATGCATTTAAAGGTCGAACTCCGCCTTCACTCGAGGTGTCCTTTGATCTTCTTGGTTCTTTCGGTAAAGTCACGTAGAAGGGAAGTAATAAAATAATAAAAATAAAACAATTCTCACGACGTTTCGGCCACAACGCAAGCAGCCGTCCTCAGGTGAAAACCAGGTCCGTCGAGGCGACAGTCTGACTCTGTCGCCTCACCTGAGGACGGCTGCTTGCGTTGTGGCCGAAACGTCGTGAGAATTGTTTTATTATGTTTTATTTTTATTATTTTATTACTTCCCTTCTACGTGACTTTACCGAAAGAACCAAGAAGATGAATCCCTGCAGTCACGAAAGCTTTAAATCGAAAAGTGTCCTTTGATGTCAGAGGGCAGTGCAGCTGATGATTAGTATGAGCGGAAGTGGTTGCGTGGAGGTTGTTGGGCAGTCGACCTTGGAACCCCAATCGCTTTACGCTTGTCGGGAATTAATATTGACGAGCGCGCTTTGTAAACGTGTTTTAAACGTTAAGACCAGGTTATCGCTAAACTAGTTACTGATGCTGGACGAAGCCTGACAATACGTGTACCGTCTACAAATTAATAGTACATCACATGGCAAAGTATTTCATGCATGCAAATCAACTTTCAACTTTTTTTTGGACAGTCATTTTATTTGATCATTCCTGGGTGGTATGGTAGTTGGTGCATTGTGTTAAGAACACCACTCATTGAGTTTGATTTGCCAGCCGTGGATTCAACATTGTTGAACTGGCCTTGAGCTATCCTTCAATGGTATTGACCGACGTGGTCAAACAACCAACGGTGTAGGGAGGGGTTTTTTGGTCATGGGTTGACCACAGGGCTTATCACGTTGGGATGAGGACGTATGTGTAGCAATATTTGTTTTCGTTTCTTAAATTCTACTTAATCTGGCACAAAGGGGGTTTGTGTCTGTGCTTCATGATTAAACTATAAAACATGATTCCTGCGGAATTAAAGTAGAATTCAATGGCTATGTTTGCACTAAAATATCTAAGAGACTTAGCTGTTATAGGCATCTAAAACTCATGTGGCTTTTATAGACAAATCCCATTGCGTTTGAATGCGTATTCTTACAGATAGATTTTTTCATTCGGTGGCGAATTCAAATGTATAAACTACACCGGGGTTTAGCAAATGTGAGAGATTACCACAACAAAAATTCGATGCTAATTATACCTGTTTGCATTACATTTGTTTCATTTTAGGTTTGGATGCTTTTGGCAGAATAACTCGTAAATTAGAAGCGTAGCCTGATTTAGAATAATCCTATGACTTCGTCGAACTCGGTAGGTCCGATATCTCGTGCTCCCAGGAAGCCGTGGGGCCGATGGGTTGTGTCTAAAATAACATTTGTGGAGAGGTATAAATGAGACATTGCTTCTCTAACGTGTTACTTCTATTAACGACAACCAACCATGTGACTGCTCTATTGTTCTTCTTCTTGGTTCTTTCGGTAAAGTCACGTAGAATGGAAATAATAAAATAATAAAAATAAAACATAAAATAATTTTCACGACGTTTCGGCCACAACGCAAGAAGCCGTCCTCATGTGAAGAACAGGTCTGTCAGAAAGACAGCGTCTGAATGAACACCAGGCTTGGCAGCGTATATTTAAGCTGGGTTGGAGGGGGAAGAGCGCCTTGACAAAGGAATTTGCATATCAAGAGAAACCTAGCATACCCATGGGAAATGCAGGTATGTGATTAGTACTACTTTTGCCCGTGCATTATGCAGGATTAGCAGCATCAAAGGGAGGTGATATGGGAAATGCAGGTATGTGATTAGTACTACTTTTGCCCGTGCATTATGCAGGATTAGCAGCATCAAAGGGAGGTGATATGGGAAATGCAGGTAAGTGATTAGACTACTTATGCCCGTGCATTATGCAGGATTAGCAGCATCAAAGGGAGGTGATATGGGAAATGCAGGTATGTGATTAGTACTACTTATGATCTATTGGTACGCATTGTTGAGCAGCAACGCGTTGCTTCGCTAGAGGGCGATGTAAGCACGTGATGCTGTGATTTCTTTTTTTGGACCCGAAATGAGGCGCTCGATGCTCTGGAGAGAAATGAACGTGGCGAATTGCAAGTGCGCGCCGCATTTTTATTCCAGTCAATTATCGCTCAGAGTGAAGTTAATGGGTGTGATTGAAGTGCCAAGTTTAATTAAAATTCCACGTCAGCAGTTTGCCAATCTTAAGACGCTCTAAGAAATAGGTTCAAATGGCTTGGGGCAAAATTATGAAATGGATGCCAACAATTTAAATGTTGCATTAACTAGCATAATGATAGTGCATTGAACGTGGGTGGGAATGATTAAAGAGAACAAAGAGTTACAATTTTCTGAAAACCACGAAAGACATGTCGAAGAGGCGAGATAAAATAATTTGCTGAACAAAATATTGAAACACGAAACTGTGAAATGGTCAAGGAAATAACGATTAAAGAACTATGGGAACACGAATTAAAATCACTGAAGAGGTCGTAACAATGGGCGCATGAAAGCCAAAATTTGGTTTGCAATAGGCTATTTGGAAGTTATACAGCCCTTGGGGAGTGAGATGGAACTCACTGAACATCAATTACGCAGGACGAGTTTCTGGAACGGAATTAGCAGACCTACTTACTCAGCATTCAAAGATGTGAAATATGTGAATCATGGAATGATCCCACAATATTTCTACTCAAATTGGGTCATATAACGTAGAGCAATTCGTGTCACACTGCACATTTGTACATTGTTCAGAAACATTGGGAACAGCATAATGAAAATTCGAGGCCAACCAGCTACATGAGCAAACTGCGTTCATGAAAGGTTTCTTTCCCATTCATCGCATATAAACTATCAATGATTCTGGACAGACGAATCAATATCAAATACCAATCTGTCTTGCCTATGCAGACTATGAAAATTCAGTTGACTCGGTGGAAATTGATGCCGTTACTTATGCTCTCGCAAACCAAGGTATCGATAAAAATATATTTAGAAATTCTAAGCATTTAACAAAAATTTATCATTCCACTGATAATGCAGTACGTGAAGTAAACCAAAATAAATGAGAAGGGAAGTCTGGCAAGAATACATTTTGATTAACGTTATTCACAACAGATGTTTTCTGAAAATGGAGTTGGAGAAATAAAGGTGTCAACGTTTAAATTGACACATGACAACCAACGGGAACTAACTAAAGGGTATGATTGAGACATTTAATTAGGGCTGAAAAGTTGTGCTCAAGATTAACACGAGTAACACAGTCACGTACAACGAGTTCGCTATGCAATTGGGTCAATAGTTGTTGGCATATTGCATACAACTTGAAATCACACCAGACGTTGTATACAAAGGCCAGTTACTGCAGACGGACAGGGAACAAATGAATGAAATGAAGAGGTGGACACAAATGGGTTTCAGTGTTTTTTTATAAAACTGATTAATATTGAAGATAATCTTAGCCATGTGTGTAAAAAGCACTGTTTTTGTGTACGTCACTTGCTGTGACGTTCAGTTGAGGAATATGAACAGCACGCAATCGAAGTACAGAGGTGCACGCTTGGCTTATCACGAAACGCAAAGAGGAACACTTGGATTCGAGAATATACTCAAGTTAGAGACATCGTCCAGTGTTGACCTTAGAAAAGAACGTGCCCTTGGGCATGACACGGCGATGGAAAGCGATGATAGCCAATGGTAAGAGGCTAATGGCGGAGCGGCAGCCAAAGGAGTGAACATCTGAGAGGACATCCAGTGTAGAGATTGAGCGATTAATCAGCTCGTGTGTGTGATGTGATGTGCGCTGTACCATCGCAACACAGAGAGACCGCTTGAGGAGGCCATTCAGTGGGTGATTTGGTGATTGTTGATGATATTAATTGTTATACAAATGCATTTTTAGATAGCCTTAAACATGGGTTGAAATAAGCTTCATACGCTTTTACAGTGCTGAGAAGTATTATTAAAAGTGGTGCAGACATATTAGCTCGTGGTAGGTGTTTCCCCCTAAGCATCTTTCATCTTCCTGTAATTATAGCCAAAC